GGCCTACATACATACACATTGTTGTGTGCTAATTGTTGTGCTTGTGATAATGTGCTACTGTAACTATTACGACTGATCTAAACAATTCTCCTGTGAGTCTCCACTAGCACCAATCACTGGCACTGTCACAGACAATAAAGTCCCATCAGGGGCAATCATCTCTCCATTCTCTGCAGGACAGCTCGGTAGTCACGTGACACCTTATTTTATTACAGATGCGATTCACCTCTGGTAAACATTGAGTTATCAGCAACATTGGAGTAGTATCTAAAGTAGTGTTCGTGTTCATTTTCAAACAAAGACTGAGTTTTTTATTGTTGGATGGGACGATTTTCTTTCAGTCATTAAGACTCAGTCTTGTCACCGAATCTATTCGTGTAACACAATTTTTTATAGGTAGGTTGCCCGTTTATGTATGGCCAATATGACAACATGTTATACAGTCTGTGTAAACTAACTCAACACAGTCGTCCCATTTTGTAAACATCACATATCACAACATGAACATCAACTCAACTCACTCAAAATTTAAAAACTTGTTTACTCTGTTGAAAAACAGTCATGCACACTCTTGTCTCACGTTCTAATTATACACCGTCTACCGTTTACACTATCTACAATACACACTATTTACAGTTTACACTATCTAAAATACACACAATACAGTATACGCTATTTACTACGCTACACACTATACTGTAAACACAATTTACTGCAGGCTTATTGAATTTCTTTAGCACACAATTAAAATCACCAAAGTAAACAACACATGACGTTGATTGATTGAAATTTTTACATCTTATTAATTTTTCACGCCAAACACACAGATACACACACACAGATACACACGCACACAGATACACACGCACAAAGACACACGCACACCCAGACACAATCATAGATACACTTGCATGTACACAATTCTGATGTGCTTGCAAAAATCCATCGATTTAATGTAGTCTTATGCAATTTTTTCAAGGACAAAAATAAAAATACACCTAAATAAAAGATACACGGATGAATTAACCAATTTGAAACATGACGGAAGTGTGATTGTAGTAATCAAACCAAATCTCCCCAGGAGTTTTAAATTGAAATATTTACTCGCTCCGCCGTGCCTGAAGAACCTTTCTAAGGAAGATTTGACTTTACTAAGTGGTCTCTTTGGAAGAAAACACTCAAGGTTCTTTTCGATTTGTCCACTAATTTTAAAGAGTTTATACTTGAATAAATTCTATTTTAAGAAACGATTGAAATAACAAAGCGAGCTTCCTTCTAGTTTCTGTTAAGTACTCGACTCATTTCATGTTAGATATTTTGCTGACACGCCTCTGACTGCTTCTATATTATCGTTACACGCCTCTGACTTGCGCCACCTATAAGGCGAACTAGGCGGTCGCCTAGAGCGCCATCCCTAGGGGGGGGGGGCAAAATGTTTAATAGCTATTATCAAAATGTACCTAATAATTAACAACTTTTATAAAGTAGTAGCTATCTATTTCGGCACCCAGGACGAACTATCAATTTTGCAACCCCACTCCAAAATTAGGTCTTATAGGCCTAATATATATTCGCGATGGTGAAAATGCAACCCCACCTCCCTAATTTGGAAAGGTCGGGGCGCTTTTTACCAGTCACTTTGCCTTTTTAATTTGGTGCCACATAATTGATGTAGAAAACGATTAAATAAGTTCGTAATTTAAATTTCGAACATTTCAAACGGTTATCTAGTTTAAATAGGGCTTGTAAGTGTCGTTTTCCCTGACTTTGAATTATAAATCTGTTCTGCTGTATAGAGTTTTGTTATGACGGGGTGTATTGTACTTGTTTGGTAAGTTTTGATGAATCGTTTAGATTTGGGAGTAACGGCGGAAGGCTGTTGCTGATATGGTTTTGTAGGTATAAAGTGTCGAAGTGTTAAAGTGTCATTGTTTTTATTCGGCTGTTTTGTAGTTGAAGGTCTAATGGTATTTGATTGATAATAGAGAAATGAAAACGTAGGCGATGAAGTATCGCAGTTCTGGAGTTCGGGAGTATTGATTCTTGTGGTATTAATGTATCGAATTATATTGACCGTTGAAGTGTAGTAGTAGGTCCAGTAAAATCGTTGTTGATTGGGAGTACCGTTTGTAGAGCTTGGTGAAGTTAAACAAGTTGGTGTCGTAGTTCTGGAGCATCGAGTCTAGTTATGTTTAGATATCTAGATATCGAAGTTTGATATGTGTTGTGAATGTAGCAGAGTATATCGAGTAGTCGAGTTTATAGTAAGTTAGATGATTTCAATCCAGTACGGAACACACTACAAAGAAAGGTAGACGTTCTCTAGTTGAAAAATCTTTAATTTTTTAGGAATCTATTACCACTCTTAAAGTATTATTATTATTTATTAAATGGGACGGAATTTATAACTATCTGTAAACTTTGTTTTTTCAAATTTTAATTTCTTTACATTTAAATCAATTCTTCTGGCAATGTCTAAAACATTTACCCCTGTTTGATTTTCTAAACGTAGTCCCTTTACTCAGGGGATCCAAAATTATTTGAAACAATCTCTAGATCTAGTCGAAAATTAGCAAGCAAACGATGTATGCCATGAAAATTGGATAGAAGTGTGTTACTATAAAGCTAACATTTTTAGACTTTCAAATAAAACCTACAGTTAAGTGTTCAATGGGTAAAATATATTGTTTTTACAAGGTTACATAGATAATATAAAAGATTTGTTATAATTATTACAAAATGAAAGTAAGAGCGGTTTATTTTGTTTCTCAAACATGTATTAGTTACACTTGGTTAATTTAGCTATTCTTGTGAAAGTTATTTCCCTTGAACATTGCTATTTGGATATTGAAATGGGAAATAATTCTCGTTGCTTAACTTTACATTTGTTTCAAATTCCTGCACCTTAGGGCGCCTTAGGTTGACCGCTTACATATAAATACAACTTAAAGTTATTATTTGCTATTGTAAAAATTATATCGAGCTTAAGTTCTAAACAAATAGTTTGGTAGGTGTGAGGATCTACTGCCAGTTATGAAGGCGGGAAAAACCACAGCAATCACCAAATGTGAGAGTGGGGGTGATGAAGATCCAACACACAGTCCAAGTCAAAATATAATGTTCTTTATTAAAATGTACACAATCATCTTCCTACCTACCTAACCAATCTATATACTATCTGCTAACTACTAACACTACTAACTACACACTCCCATGACCAATCCTAACACACTACATTCTAACTTTCTACATATTTCTATGTCGTAAAGTACAAAGTAGACTCGTGGACTTAGCAACTATTTCAATAAAATGTGATTACACTAAGTCTTACAAACTGGAATTGAAGGAATTAGTACAAACTTTTGAGAAGAAGGAGGCAAGTAAAATTTGATTTTGATGTCTACTTACATATGCAATTGACATTTAATTATTATGTCACTTTTAATGAATTGTTTTCTTATACATATGTTTTAGTAATTAATTTTGTGTGAAAGGGGGCGTTTTAATAAGTTTTGCCTAGGGCGCTAAATAACCTGGCGTCCGCACTGCTGACTAGGTCTGTATTATCGTCACACCCCTCGGCACCGAAATTATTCCTAGATCTGTCTTCGTCAACTTGAGAAAACAAATATCTCATTGAACTAAAACTTTTAAAAATTTCAACACAAAGCAAGACTTAAAAACTGGTTTAAACGAAGATACAAAAAGCGATTTCCTTTGAAGCGGTACTTTATTTAAAAAAAAAAAAAACTGTAGTTTTTGTAAAATAGAATTGTGTTGTGGTTTATATGTGTGTGAGTGAGTGACTAAGTGTGTGTATGTGAGGGGGGGGGGGTCTGGGTGTTTACATGTCACTTCACACCCAGACCCCCCCCCCCTCTCACATACACACCTCTCAAATGACATGACACTTGAGTGAGAGGTGGAGGTCTTTGGGAAAATTCCATTAAATTAAACGTGGTAGAAGGGTGGTACATTTTTAAACAATCAAATGCGAATATTTAATAACACTCAAATAGCTATGTGATTAAGTTAAGTGCACCATGCGATCAGGAAAAAATCGAATAGATTATCATTAATCAAATGAACTATGTTCACATTTCTGAGGGCCCTTCACATTAATAAACATCTCGGGGCGTTAATTAACGAGAAAGGGGTGCGTTAATTATTTAATTTTGTGCTACCATTTATCAATTTAAAGTAAACGTGCATTACTTTGCGAGAAGATTTAAATTAAATTCTCCTTTTTACCGTAGGCCTGTCTTAGACGTGCTGTTCTGAAGCATTCATTCTGTAATGTCTGATGCGGGGGGGGGGGGGGGGGGGAACAAAGAAACACATTTTTACAGCTCTGAAACTCAGATCTGTCGTATCAAAATATGAATCCAAACAAAAGGAATGTATTGATTTTGTGTTGTTTGAAGTTCTTAGAAAAGCTCTCTTCAGAAGGATATCGACTTTTTATTTTGTAGTTTTTGCTTTTAGGGTAAGAGTGAGATTAAAGGTAATGTTCTAGGTTTGTGTTAGGTTGTGGGCTAGGGTCAGTGGCGTAGCCAGGATCGTCTCAAGGGGGGGGGGGTTCCAATTTTTACCCGGGGACAAACTTTCGATTTGCACCCCCCCCCCTCAAACTTTCGATTTGCACCCCCCTCAAACTTTCGATTTTCACCCCCCTCAAACTTTCGATTTTCACCCCCCCCCCTCAAACTTCCGATTTTCACCCCCTCATACTTTTTATATATATACCGAGGGGTCTATGGGGGGGGGGTTATGACCCCCCTGCCTACGCCACTGGCTAGGGTTATAAACACGTTTAGGGCTAGGATCAGTGTTAGGGTTCGAGTTGTGAGACTATGACACATGTTTCGATTCGCCATACCGTTGTTTGTCTTTAAATCAATGTGACACTTCTGTTTTGTTGTTTTTTAATGTGACACTTCCGTTTTACTGTTCTTTTAACCAATGAGACATTTCTGTTTTACTGTTTCAGAAAATGGACGATGGCGCATGTTTCAAACAACGACGAACGTCCGTTGGGATCGGCGTGTGACGAATCATCCTCCACTGTGGCCAGTGTCTATTCGACGGTAGCCCGTGGCTACAACTGCACAACGGTAGCCAGTAGCTACAACTGCTCATCAGTAGCCACTGGCTACAACAGCACATCGATAGCCACTGGCTACAACAGCACAACGTTAGCCAGTGGCTACATCAGCACATCGGTAGCCAGTGGCTACAACAGCACAACGGTAGCCACTGGCTACACCACCAGCCTTCTCCTGACGGAACCCAACCCCTCTGACGTCATCGACGACGACCACCACAGCCCCACTGACCTTTCCTTCGCCGTCATCAGCCTAGCGGCGTCCGTGTTCATCAGTCTCGGCAACTCCATGACGCTGCTTGCCATCTGGCACAACCGCCACCTCCAGACGACCCCCAATCTGTACATCGGGTCTCTGGCTCTAGCAGACGTTCTGGTCGGGCTGATGCTGTTCGTTCAGGGGATCTCAAGCATGAACATCGAGGGTCGTTTTCTGGAGGAGATTGAATACGCTTGTTTAAGTCTTATGAGTCTGTTGTTTGTTTCCGTGTGTGCTTCTATGTTTAGTACACTACTCGTGTCATTGGATAGGTATATGTATATTATTTATTCGCTGCATTACGCACGTTATGTTACGAAAGAGAGGTCAGCTATTGTTATACTAGTCACATGGGTGTTAGCAGTATTATACGGTACCGTGCCTTTATACACGAGTAACTTCCACACTGGAGAAGGATGCATGCCGACTCACATCTTTTCCAAGGTCTACATGATCATGGTGCACCCGTGCTTGTTTTTCACCGTCAGCGTCGTGACGTTCTGCCTATACGTGCAGGTGGGACGCGCGGCCCTGCGGCAACAAAAACTGATCAGGGATCAGAAGTTGGCGACCAACAAGTCTGAGCTCCCTGGCGCCACCAAGCGGTTCTCCCAGCGCAACCTCCGTCTGCTGAAGCTGCTCATGTCCGTGTTTGGTCTGTTCTTCCTCTGCTGGTGTCCGCTGTTGGTCATCGCTTGTATCGAGTACACGGTCCATGTGAGTCACGTGGCTTTGAACGTCGCCAGCCTCGTTGCCGTCCTGAACTCGGCCAACAACTTCCTCGTCTTAGCCGCCATGAACAAAGAGTTCCGGAGCGAGTTCCGGAGGCTGTTGTCGGCCGTGCGGCATTGTTCCGGTTGTCGGAACGATCAAGTCCACCCGGCGCCGACTGTTTCTGTCGTATCCTCCACAAACCCTGGCTAAATCTACAAACCCTGGCTAACTGTAAAAACCCTGGATAAGTCAATAAACCCTGGCTAACTCAACAAACCCTGGCTAATTCTACAAATCCCAACTCTACATACCCTGGATAACTCAACAAGCACTAACTCAACAAACCCTGGCTAAATCTACAAACCCTGGCTAAATCTACAAAACCTGGCTAAATCTGCAAACCCTGGCTAATTCTACAAACCCTGGCTAACTCAATTCTTCTTCTTCGTTTTTAATTTTAATGTTGGAAGACATTTCCCCCAACATAATTAAGTTGTACGTGTCAACTTATTATTCGCTATATGGCTCGTTGACTGCGACTTCTTTTCTTTCTGTCTGTGCTTCCATAACCTGTATCCACTCAAGAACATTCTGCAAGGCAGGTTTTTCTCTCCTAGAAGAATTGGTGCTCTCAGCTTTCAAACCTCATCTGCCGGGGGTTTAAACTCGGGACTTTTGGAGTTAGCAACCATGAGCTCTCCTGCCCGACCACACCGTCGCCTCACCGTAATTGTATTGTTGTTAACACGAACAAAATAAATGACCAAGTCTAGATATTGACCTGATGCAGGGCAGGTCCCCGACCGTTCCTTTAAGACACGGAACTTGAAGCTGTTAGGGCACAATGCCAATCATGCCAGGAATTTTTGTAGAAAACTCACAGTTGGTGTGTTTAAAAATGAACGCTTGTGATAATTTGAGATTGTTTAGAAGGGGGAAATCAAAATAAATCTCAATTCTATACTTAAATGACGTGACATAACGGTAGAACGAACGACTGCCAACCCGAAAGTCTTGTGTTCGAATCCAAGGCTCGAGTCTACCCAGCCCTGATGAGTACCTGACTAATGTTAGAGAAAGTAAAGGTGGTCTGGTAAGGAACTGATCATAGCTGACCTTCATATAAAGTGCTCACAGAAACAGGTGAACTCATGCCAAATTGGCGTCTGGTCGACACGAAGAACTTTTAAAATTATTTTTTTTACAAATGGAGTCTTGTGAAGTGTGCTAACTATCTGGTAAATGTTAGGAAAAATGTATCATAAAAATGATTCATTAATGAATTGTGCACCTTCGTTCTTAATTTTAGTGTTGGAAGGAAAACCCGTCAACAACATTAAGTATAAGTGTCAACTGTTTATGCTCCATTGATTGACTTTCCTTTTTGGGTTTACTTCCATAGCCTTTGGCCAACCAAAAACAAACTACAAGCCAGGTCTCTCCAAGAAGAGTGGCTGTCTCCATCTGCCCGAGGGTTTCCAACTCGAGACTTTTCAATAATTTTTTTTACTAAAATATAGCACGCGCAGACATTAAACCATTGATTCAAATAGAGATGGTACAATTTTTGACAAGAAATATAGGTGTAGAAAAGAATCGGGCAGAGTAATTTTGACATACATACAATACACAGATAAATAAATAAATTATATATATATATATATATATATATATATATATATATATATATATATATATATATATATATATATATATATATATATATATAAAGAGAGAGAGAGAGAATAAGCGAAGTAGAGCGTGAGAGAGAAACCATTATATTTGTTAGCCCACATATCCAAGATTTTTTCTATTTCTTCTTCTCTATAGAGGCAGTGATAAAATAGCTGTCACACCACCCAAGTGAGTTGTTTAATTTAAAAATGTCCAACATTTAAAACGGAATCTTCCACACTTATTGTAGTTCGCCCACACATCCCACCCCACCCCCAACCCCCTACCAACACGGTGAGAGAAATTAAACAACTCCATGTGACGTAGAAATCGATCAGCTTAAAATAAAACCACCGATTTAATCTAGAAGCAATTTTCTAGGATCCAGCTTTACTGTAAGATGTTCATTAAAAAAAATCGTAGCTTATTACTGTAATCAGACTATTCTATAAATAGCGCATAAAGTGCCTTCAACCATCTTGTACTGTTTTCGTATTTCAAGGTCACACATTTCTAAGACATTCCTGGTGTATTGCACTAGGTATTTCAACCGCATTTACCTCTGTAATAAGTTTTCTCAAACATTTTCAGTATCTAAATCTGGAACAAGTTTTCTCAAACATTTCCAGCCCCTAAATCTGGAACAAGTTTTCTCAAACATTTCCAGCCCCTAAATCTGGAACAAGTTTTCTCAAACATTTTCAGCACCTAAATCTGGAACATGTTTTCTCAAACATTTTCAGCACCTAAATCTGGAACATGTTTTCTCAAACATTTTCAGCACCTAACTCTGGAACAAAGTTTCTCAAACATTTCCAGCACCTAAATCTGAACTTTTTCAGTATCTAGACAGGTTAAGCAATCGCCTAAAGAACATGTTGAAACGATTATTACCCCAGGGAATTACAACAATAATTCAACCACTTTTAAAATAAAACAACCCCACACAGGTTAACATTTGGTTACACCGGTAAAAAAATTAGACCAAAACTTTAAAAAAATTAATTGTATGACATCATCTTTTAATAACACAGTGGAAGGTGTAATTAAGGAATCTAAAAATAAGACATTCAATGCAGGTGACACAGATGTATCGTGGGAAATGTTTACTTCTTGTACAGGTACAAATATAACTGTAAACTATATACATGGGGATTAAACTACGTAAACCTATATAATATTATAAATTAACTATCTTCAGCAAGATAACCATAAACCTAATAGGTTAGGGTTAGTTACCATAGAAGGATCACATATAAGTTTAATTTATAAATAATTATTGCTATATAAAACTGTAAAAATGACTGTAACAATAAGTAACACTAGCAAATAGGCTACATTGTTTTATTTTAATGGCGTTTTTAATCGTCATGCGCATTTCATAAGAACATAGTGAGAGGCTTAAAAGATTTTTTTTTAATACTGAAAGTGGAACAATTTTTTTTTTCAATTATAAATAAAATAATTAATTTTGATTTTTTTTTATAACTACGTTAGTCAAGAATTGAAGTTTTCAATTCACGAGCATACCATATTCACAGATTTTGATTGCATTAACGTATCACAATTTTAAACAAGAACAATGTCAACAACAAAAAAAAAACAGACCAAAAACAAGTTCAATGAAGCGAGAGGTTCCAGAACGAAATGTTGTGGCACTAGAGGTAGCGCTGCCGAGACTGTTCACCATCCCATACGTCACCGCGCGTGTGAGTGCGTGGTGTGACGTCACATGCCGTGCTTGGCGTAGAGCCCCTCCACCGTGGCCTTGTATTTCTTCCTCAGCACGGGGCGTCTGTTCTTCAAGGTAGGGGTCAAGAGGTCATTCTCCACGGTGAACATGTTCCATTCCAGGTAGATGTCCTTGACCTTAAAGTTTTTGGGGTATGTGTTAAAACGTTATGACAACGGCTCCCCTTCATCTCTAAACTCAACGTCTACATAAGTCGCACGTTACTTTATTCAGTCAACCCCACCCTCAGTCAGGGTGCCACATAAAGTCAACCCCACCAATGTTCAACCCTCAGGTAACCCTTTCACTCAACTATAGGCTTAGCCAATCCCACAATCAACCAATTCTATCATGAGCCAACCCTTCCACTCAGCCAACCCTATCATCCAACCCCACTCAAAGTGAATCTATTCTCATCTAATCCCACCCTAAACTAACCCCATTCTCAGCCAACCTAACCCAACCCAACCCCACCCCACACTCACCGAACTCTAAGCCAACACCACCTTAAACCAACTCCGTCCTAAACCAACCCTACCCTAAGCCAATCCTACCCTAAGCCAACCCTACTTTAAGCCAACTCCACACTCAGCCAACCCTATCCTTAGCCAACCCTTCCCTAAACCAAACCTAACAATACTGCCCTACGAAATCCACCACTGTCTTCCACTCGCATTAGGTAACAGTGAATCAGAAATTTTTGTCATCTGTCATATCGCCCAACTATCTTCATCTGACGTCTATTTTTTTTTTACATCAGTGAGCGCAACGTGATGTTTCAATACAGGAATTTTAAATGTTTCCAACTGTCACATTCCGCTGTAATTATCACATTCACGCCCCCCCCCCTCCCTGCTCACCCATCTGCCACACACAGTTCCCGTACATCGACCAGGGCTAATCGTCTAATTGTGTACAATAGAAGCCCGGGGGTGGGGGGGGGGGGGGTGGATGTGTTTCTAGAAAAGATTAACACAAAAATAATCTAATAACTAGACTACATTCTTAAATGACGGAAATCTTTTGAATTCTAAAATCTGTTAATTAGTGAACCAGTTTTACTTTACACAATTTCATTTAGATCCGAAGATCTGAGAAATATCCGAGTCCAAAAAACTTTTCACGAAATCAATAAAAAAATTTACAGACATGCAAAAGCGCAGGAAATATTGCATTTCACAAAAAATAAAAAGGTTGAAAGCTTGTCAAAAAACTGAACATTGATCAAAGAAAATCTATGAACTTTTTTATGTGACATGATGAACAAAGCATGTCTTCTCATTTATAATGCGACATGTCTGCGAATATTCATTGGTTGTTTTTTTTTCACGAATAAAACTTTTAGAATTCAAATCTTCTACTGGGATGTTGTGTAAGGGGTCAGCCACAACTGGGGCTATACCTTTACTCGCCTGTAAGGACATGCATTCAAACACGCCACATATATCACTTAACTCACCTGACACATGTTGACTCACCTGTTCAAATCCTTTCAAGCCTGATTTTTTGCCGTATTCGATCATGTCCCCCAACACAATATCTTTTGCTTGCTAGTAAAGTGGAGATGCGGTGATATATATATATATATATATATATATATATATATATATATATATATATATATATATATATATATATATATATATATATATATATATATATATATATATATATTATTTATATGTTATATGTAATATGTACATATGTATGTATGTGGCTGTGCTTGTGTATATATACGTTGTAAATATAACCTTTTCGACCTTCTGACCCATAATCTGGATGAAGTAGAGTTCACCTGTTTCTTTTACCTCAATATATACAGGAAAAGCGTGATACCAACTACTCCTAGCCGTCCTTACTCCCTACCGTGGGTCAGGTACCCATCAGAAAGCTAAAAGCTAAAACTTGATGTAACAATTTACACTATACATTGCAACACCTTTATGAAAGGTGGCCTCACTACTATATCGGTAGGTGTATATCTAGATGAACTCTGACTTGATACTGTTGAACACATAGTTTATCTCTGAATGTGTTTAATGCCCTTGTCAGCCTCTGCGCAAAACGATTGGTTGAAACTCACCGGATGTTTACAGAACTCCTCGAGATTGGCCGGAAATTGCGGGTTGTTCTGCACCCACTTCTCTATGTAGAGCTGGTCTGGCACAATGACAGCCATCAGAACCGTCTGTGAAGAGAAGATCACAACTCAGGGAGTGTTGGTAGGTGGGGGTGGGGTTGATTTTAACCAGGCTAGGTTTGGCGCAGCTGGCTACTAAACAACAGGTCATACTTTATTTGTAAGAGGCGCCCGTTATGTTCTCATGTCAGACCCAGAATTTGAGACGCGGCCACTGTATTGAAATACAACTCTAGTGGTCGAAGGTGTGGCTGATATGTTAACATGCCTGGCCAAATTTGGGTGTGATTGCTAACATACACGTGAGATATATCCTGGTTATAAACCACGGGATGTCCTGTCTGTCCACTGCCCACACCACCCTTATATTTAAACATTCCTCACACTTATCTTAAACCACCCCCCCCTAATACTCACATTGAAACCCCCACACTCAATCATTCACCTTGAAACCATCTCGCACACAATTATCTTGAAACCCCCCTCATCCAACACTCAACACTCACTCCCCCCTCCAACACTCACCTTGACCCCAACGCTCACCTTGACCCGCCCCCCAACACTCACCTTGACCCCCCCCACTCACCTTGAAACTGTCCCCCTCCACAAAAGCTTGAGCAACAAATGGACTGGCTGTGTACACACTCTCGATCTTCTCCGTGGCTATGTACTCACCCTGTACACATAGAACATGTCTGTACACATAGAACATGTCTGTACACATAAAACATGTCTGTACACATAAAACATGTCTGTACACATAGAACATGTCTGTACGCATAGAACATGTCTGTACACATAAAACGTGTCTGTCCACATAGAACATGTCTGTACACATAGAACATGTCTGTACACATAGAACATGTCTGTACACATAGAACATGTCTGTACACATAAAACATGTCTGTACACATAAAACATGTCTGTACACATAGAACATGTCTGTACGCATAGAACATGTCTGTACACATAAAACGTGTCTGTCCACATAGAACATGTCTGTACACATAGAACATGTCTGTACACATAGAACATGTCTGTACACATAGAACATGTCTGTACACATAGAACAAGTAAATCTGTACACATAGAACATGTCTGTACACATAGAAATGTCTGTACACATGGAACATGTCTGTACACATAGAATATGTCTGGACACATAGAACTTCTAGGGTTTGTAAATACAACTTTTTGTGATGCTTTGAATTAAACTTAAAAATGTAGGCTATGTGCAATTTCTTTTGCGTATGACCTTGTCAGTATGTGTATGACCTTTGAGAATGATCTTTAGTAAATGATCATGTATAAATGATGTTTTGCGATATTTTACCTGTAGTGTGAAAACGTTTATTTCGCTCTTTGGGAATAATCTTTTAATGCAGGGCTATAAGGGATATCTCTTTCCCAGGAAGACTCTTAAAATGACTCTAGTTTGTGTTTCTATTGTCCCGTTTTTCTATCCCCCCCCCCAGCTCCTCCCCAGTTCCTCCCCCAACCCCTCCCCACCCCCTACTAGCCCATGAAATAACAAATCGAATCATCACCTGAGATAGTTTGAAAATATTTTTCTTCCTGTCAACAATTTTCAGAGTTCCGTTCTGTCCAATAAAAAGAGATTGAAGCAGATTAGATAGGAAATAGAATTTGGTTAGGGAAAACATGATAAAAGGGGATGTGATCAATACATTCTACAAATTCTAAAAATACCCCACTAATCACACAGCTATGGTCAGCTACACCCCACTAATCACACAGCTATGGTCAGCTACACCCCACTAATCACACAGCTATGGTCAACCTGACCCCCACTAATCACACAGCTATGGTCACCTACACCCCTCTAATCACACAGCTATGGTCACCTACACCCCACTTGTCACACAGCTATGGTCAACCTGACCCCCACTAATCACACAGCTATGGTCACCTACACCCCACTAATCACACAGCTATGGTCACCTACACCCCACTAATCACACAGATATGGTCAACCTGACCCCCACTAATCACACAGCTATGGTCACCTACACCCCACTAATCACACAGCTATGGTCACCTACACCCCACTAATCACACAGCTATGGTCACCTACACCCCACTAATCACACAGCTATGGTCAACCTGACCCCCACTAATCACACAGCTATGGTCAGGTACACCCCACTTGTCACACAGCTATGGTCAACCTGACCCCACTTTTCACACAGCTATGGTCAACCTGACCCCCACTAATCACACAGCTATGCTCAACCTGACCCCACTTTTCACACAGCTATGGTCAACCTGACCCCCACTAATCACACAGCTATGCTCAACCTGACCCCACTAATCACACAGCTATGGTCAGCTACACCCCACTAATCACACAGCTATGGTCAACCTGACCCTCACTAATCACACAGCTATGCTCAACCTGACCCCACTTTTCACACAGCTATGGTCAACCTGACCCTCACTAATCACACAGCTATGCTCAACCTGACCCCACTTTTCACACAGCTATGGTCAACCTGACCCCCACTAATCACACAGCTATGCTCAACCTGACCCCACTAATCACACAGCTATGGTCAGCTACACCCCACTAATCACACAGCTATGGTCAACCTGACCCCACTAATCACACAGCTATGGTCTGCTATACCACACTGGTCACACAGCTATGGTCAACCTGACCTATTGGTCTGGCCTCTAGCCATGAATGACCTACCGGCAGCCACCTCCCAACATCCCCTGTGTGGAGCCACCCGTCTTCATCCAGCGCCTCTGCTGTCTTCTCGGGTTCCTTGTAGTAGCCTTTAAACAGAAAGTCTGCCTTGGCCCAAATCTGGGAAGTGTAACAAAAGATAGATTTCAAAAGAAAATCTGGCAAGTGTAATAAACGATAGATTTCAACAGAAAATCTGGCAAGTGTAACAAAAGATAGATTGAAACAGAAAATCTGGCAAGTGTAACAAAAAATTTAAACAAAAATTCTGGCAAGTGTAATGAAAGATAGATTAAAACAGAAATCTACTTTGGCCTAAATCTGGAAAGTGTAACAAAACAGATTTGATCAGATAAACATTTCTTAAAACAAATTTGTGAACAACACTAAAGTCGAATCCAGTGCATTGGGAAATTTTTTCAAGTACATTTTTTTTCGAGTTTTTTTGAAAAATATAAAATATATCCTATTTATGTTCGAAAAAATATCAGCTAAGAAAGAGTCTTACAAACAATTTTTGAGGAATTAGAAAAAATAGTAACACACCTCCCCAATGTTGTCTTTGACGTAGTAGTCCATCTCTGGGATGTCGACAAGCTTGATGTGGGCACCGGGCAGAGGGGGGCCAACACTTCCTGTAAGATGTTGTATACGCTCAGTCAGTGTGTGACACGCTCATGAGACACTTTCATTCATTGTTGGACACGCTCATTCCTCGTTGAACACAACATGTTCAATATGACAATATGCTGTTAACATTCTTATTGGGATGTTGTGGATCACCATGTTTGGCAATGACCTATTCCTGGGTAATCAGGTCAATAAATGACCTATTTTTGGGTCATCCGGTCAAAAAATGACCTTTGTTTGAGTCACTAGGTCAGGGACTGACCTATGTTTGTGTAACTAGATCAATATCCGTTCTATACTAGAGATATTAGTTCAAGGAATGACCTTTGCTTAGGTAACTAGATCAAAGACTGATATACGATTGTGAAACTAGGTCAAGCTCTGGACAACGCTTGGAATGACCTTTGCTTAGGCCACTGTGTCAAGGACGTAACAACCATTGGGTTCATCCGGTCAAGGACTTACCTATGCTTGGGTCACCAGGTAAACTCATGGTTAAACCAGCACCAGATTCCGTTTGACCATAACCCTCAACCACCTGTAGATCACACAGGTATATTTTGTGGACATTTTACAGACAAAAATACACACTTGAAAAATGCTTTTTTTAAAACATACAACAGAGGACATAGTGCTTACAACAGAACAAAGAATACGCAATTCATAAAATTACGCTAAGAATCTGGCTGTCGCATATGTAATACACTTTTTAAAACACAGAGGTACGCCTTGGTCGAATAGTAGAGCGTGGGCTGCTAGCCAGAAGGTCTCGAGTTCGGACGTCCCAGAGTCCATCCAGCTGAAATGGGTACCTGATTTACTTTGGGGGAATTAAAAGCTGCTAGGCATAGTGCTGACCACACCATCCCTTCATATACCGAGGTAAAAAACATGAATACAGCTTTATCTGCCCGATGGCTCGCTAAGTCTAAAAGAGGACCTTTTTATAACAGAGCAAAGAAGATTTTTCACAGAGATAAAGTCATACAGTTTATATTACAGCATGAAAAAAAATACATTAGGTTTCTTTTACCACACAGTCTAACAAAGCATGCTTTGTTCAGAACAGCCTAACAAACATGCTAGCTATACCATAATCCAAAATCTAACTCTATATTACTGAAACTTACAACTCACCCTAACCAACATTATACCTATAACACAAGTATAACTTACAACACAACCTAAACAACATGATACCTATAACACAATCCCAAACATATCAGCATAACTTACAACACAACCTAACCAACATGATACTGATAACACAAGTATAATTTACAACACAACCTAACCAACATGATACCTATAACACAAGTATAACTTACAACACAACCTAACCAACATGATACCTATAACACAAGTATAACTTACAACACAACCTAACCAACATGATACCTATAACACAAGTATAACTTACAACACAACACAACGAACATGGTGCCTATAACATAAGTATAACTTACAACACAACACAACGAACATGGTGCCTATAACACTATCCAAAACCTATCAGTATAACTTACAACACAACCCAACGAACATCTCAAAAACTTCATGACGTCAGTTGACAAAGGGGCGGAGCCTGTGATGACGAATCGGACACGCCCACCAAGTTTCTCTTGAATTTTGCTAAAAATTATTTTATCCCAGATGCTGTCCCTTCTGTAGATCATTCTGCAAATACCCAGCAAAATTGATAAATCTGGTTGTAAATTCTTAAAATTTTCAACACATTCAAAATGGCTGTTTAGAATGGGGCTTGATAAAGCGATTGAGACTAGACATATAGCTTAACAAACTAGTCTATTGTAAAGAAAAATTATTAGAGCTTTAAAACGTGTACTCAAATTAATTAGAAATATTAAAGTTGTATACCTGTCTACTTCCTTCTGTTTGCCTTCTAGGGCCCATTTTAACAAAGTTGACTTGATTTTAGAGTTTTTCACACCAGCATACACCTGAATCCGGTATTTAGAATATACGATTTAAAATATATAATTAAAAAATCATTGAATATGACAAATAGGTTTTATTATTTATCAAACTAAATCGTGGACAAAAATGGCAAAATAGTATATAACATGAAAAATAAATAAAAAAAAAACGAAAAAATAAAATTTAGTTACGAAAACAAAAACCGTAAAAAATAAGAAAATGTATTTGATTATTGGTCAGCTAAAAAGCCGAAACCACGCCTGACCGTGTCGTACATCCGGTTCAACAGCCGGGGAACTGTGGCGAACAGCGTTGGTTTGAGCGCCATCAGGTCGTCCGTTAACAATCTGACATCACGACTGTAGTAGCCAACGCGGGCACCGTGCATCAGCATCATCACCTGTAGGGGTGGGGGGTACATATTAATTTTTTACGGCGGTCATGGTCCATTTATTTATGGAGATAGTGGTAGTGCATTATGGGTTATGGTTGCAGTCTCTCGTTTGCGTTTATAGGAAGAATGAAATCTTAAATAAAATAGAGCCCTTTGGTAATTATTGGACGAGTCATAGAAAGTTTAATTTTTTTTTAAAAACGGAGGGTGAGTATCTTTGATTTTTAAAAAAAAAAACAAAAAAAACAAGCATCCATACAAGTTAGTAGATATAAAAATGGCAAAAATATTTATATTCAGTACTTTTAAAGAGGCCACTTATAAAGAGTCCAATCATGACAAAAATGGAACTGCATTATAAAAATGTGAGTAATAAAGATCATTTTTACATTTCAAAAAAACGAATCCACTAAATAAATAATAATGGTATGATAAAGATCATTCAGTTTACAAAAATTAAGAAATCTTCGCCAATCCATATTTACATATTAAAAGCAAGAAATGGTCAGAAATTACTTTAAATATATTGTCTCAACAACTAAGAGAGAAAAGATCGATATCGATCATTGATTGGGTACTCACGTGTACGGCTCGATCAAAGTTGTGTGCAAGAGGTAGGTAGGACAAGTGGACGTCTTCGGGGTAGGCGTGGAAGGTTGGCTGGAATGACATGGCACAATTAGTATCAATTTGTTTGGACTACGAACTTTAAAGTTTGGCTGGGTAGGAATTACATGGTACAATTAGTATTAATTTGTTTGAACTACAAACTTTAAAGTTGGGCTAGGTAGGAATTACATGGTACAATTAGTATTAATTTGTTTGAACTACAAACTTTAAAGTTGGGCTGGATAGGAATTACATGGCATTGTTAGGTACAATTAGTTTTAATTTGTTACAAGCTGTTACGTTAATTTAGGTTGACCTTGAAATTTAAATGTTTACTACTTATATTGATGTTCTAGAATTGCCAGTCTTTGGATGTTTTATAGTTATTCTTTTACATATTACCGTTGTATTTAGTCAATGTATCTTTGTGAATGTCCCGTCCATCCTTTTAACAGCTATCATGACTTTCTAACAGTGTGCGGTATTTAAACTTATCAGCACATGAAGCTGTATATTACGTATCAAATCTAACAGTAAGTGCGGTATTTAGACTTAGGTGTGACTGTACCACAGCCAGAAAATATCTAACAGTGTGTGCGGTATTTAGACTAACCTGTGACTGTAGCAACATACTCTGTACCATAGCCAGAAAACCGTAGTTGGTGAGTACAACACCTTTTGGATCCCCTGTCGTAAAATTTTAAAACTTTGTACATCAACACAACAAGAAAACTTAATGCCACTACAAAGAAAAAGTTCTCATTAGTTTTGTTGTATACCAGCTATGATAAGATTCAGTGGTGTAGCGAGGTCGGGTGTCACCCGGTGCGGCACTTAATGGTGTCACCCCCCCCCCCCCCCAGAGGCGTTGCGATCCTTCCCGGGGACAAACTTTCAAGTTTTCGATTTGCACCCCACCCCCTCAAACTTTCGATTTGCACACCCCCCTCAAGTTTTTCTCTATATATTTTGCTATTTTTTGCCTTGGTGTCACCCCCCCTAAATGGTGTCACCCGGTGCGGTCCGCACCCCCGCCCCCCCTCGCTACGCCCCTGATAAGATTTATGTCAGGGATCCTCACAATATGGGGCTCTAACCCTTCTAGCATAAATAGACCATTCTGGATACCTCCGTGCCAATAGACATCTACTTAGTGACGAGCTAAGTAAACAAGTACGTGAGGCTAGCGTGTGTCGATAGCAACAAGGACGGTACTTCTTTTATCTGGTTATTTCAACAGTCCATACTTTATAATGAGAGTACATGACATACTCAGGAAGTCGATCAAATGCTAGAGAAATCCTATAGTCTTTGAGGTCGTATAAAAGCAAAGTCCCTATTCAGACCTAGCGGGTCCATCGGGCAGATGAATTAAAATTCATGTTTCTTGACCTCGGAATATGAAGGGATAATGTCATCAGCACTTTGCCCAGCCGCCTTTACTTTCTATAACATTAGCTGGGTGGACTCATGGACATTTTACTGACGGACACGGACTTTGGGTGAGTTACTAGCCTAGCGCTCTACCGCTTAGGCCACGTGCCCTCATTTTGAAGTCGTATAGACTCAATGAAGTCCTAGAGATTCATGGAAGTCCTATAGAAAGTCATACCAATTCTTGGAAGTCAAATAGAAAGTCGTACGGATTCATGGAGTTCGAGTAGGTTAAATAACGTCGTAGAGATCCATTGCTGTCGTGTAGACTATAGACTTAAGAAAGTTCTAAAGATTGATGAGGTCCAATAAAAAAGGTCTATCAAACTTTGAAATTTTACCGACTGAGAAAATCGTTCATATACCATCAACTCACAACGCAACAGTCAACTAATGACTGACCCAAACTACACACTTCATTCCGTGTTTATTTATTAGGTTCTAAAACTAATTACTTAAAAACCTCAAGAAAAACTTTTTAATGCGCTTCATTTGCTGAAATGTTTGTTTACTTAATCATTAACAGCTAATCAATTAAAAAAATTAATGTTACATACCGACATTAAACAAGCAATTAAAAAGCTTAAATTTAAAAAAAAAGTATTTAAAACTGAAAGTATTTTTACATTTTAACATGATTATACACATTTCGTACAATCATGTTAAAAGTCCTAAATATTTTGTAAGTTGGTAAGCAACACGTTAAGACAACTCCCTTCTGCTGGCATGTCTAGACGGAACACGTATACAACATAACGATACTGAGAAATGTCCAGTTTAATAGTGGGAACCTAATGTAGGCAGAATGCCAGTTAAGATGTGACCAACACAAGGGAGGGGGGGGGGGGGGAATTTTGTTACCTGTGGTTCCGCTGGTGTAGATTATAGAGTAGACATCTTCAGGCTTGGCTACCTGGTGAGAAATATGGGATAGATGTCAATAGTGGGAAGATAGAGGAATGTTTGCGGACATTGGATAGATGTCATTTATATGGAGGCTGTGAAGACTGGATGTTAGCGTGAAATAGATGTCATGATGGAGGTGGGATGGGGGTGGTTCGTTTGTGTTAATTTCAGACAGTAATCCTCACGCATTCATGCGAGTGGACAATTATTCCGTAGCACTCACTATCAAATGAATGTTAGAAAAAAAAAAAAACTTACAATAGGATCTTTGAGATACGCTTTCCCTAGTTCCTGAGGAAGAAATGGACATCACATGTATACGTAGAGTAACTGTACTATTAGGTTCTTTCATCATTTCGAATATATGCACAAAATTAGCAACATTTTATTGAGGCTGAAAAAATCCAGTCCAACTTTCCATAACTATCGATTATATGCACAAACGAACTTACCAACATTTTTATTAAAGTTGAAAAAATCCAGTCCAACTTTCCACAACTATCAACATATGCACAAACAAACTTACCAACATTTTATTAAAGCTGAAAAAAAAGCCAGTCCATCTTTCGACAATTATCGAATATATGCACAAACAAACTTACCAACATTTTATTGAAGCTGAAAAAATCCAGTCCAACTTTCCACAACTATCGAATATATGCTCAAACGAACTTACCAACATTTTATTGAAGCTGAAAAAATCCAGTCCAACTTTCCACAACTATCGAATATATGCACAAACGAACTTACCAACATTTTATTAAAGCTGAAAAAATCCAGTCCAGCTTTTTCCACAGCGTCCTTGAGCTGGTCAGTCATGGCCTCTATCATGATGACACGCTTCAGTGACGGCAGGTCAGGCTTCAGGGTGATCAAACTTTTCACTCTGGCCTCGGTATCCACGACAACAACCTCCATAGCACCTGGTCAATCAAGGCGGATTCCAACTTAATTAATTAGTTCTTAATGATTGCTATATGGGGCATTTTTCATAACTTATTAACTTATATTTAAATTATAAACATCTGATGTGTGTGGAAGGGTGGGGGGTGGGGGGAAGTGATTTATAACTTTTTAATGTGATTTTGCCCTAAAATTAATTATACTTTTAGTTTGATAGGGTCTTGGTAGAACGAATCAAAAGCAATCGTTGATCTATTTTCGTTAGATTTTTATCAAATTCATTATCTAATTTCAATTTGTATATTTTGTCAAGAAATAAAAGTAAATGTACTTTTAGCGTTAGGAATTTGAAAATGTAACTATCGTACAACAGGTATTTAAGGACTTAAAAGTATCTCGAGCTGTTATGTTGACTGCACTTTGGCGTATTTTAAATCGTTAGCTGTCTTGTAATTAGTAAAGTGATTTCAAATTAAACAAAGCATCGAGTTTCTGTAAGCTGTTAATCTGTATATAACTGAGGTTTATTATCTTTTTTGTTTTTTTTACGTGTGGTATAGATAATGATAAGAACAGACACAAATTAAACTTTAGAAAAACTTTGATTAATGTCGAATTTTCAAAAGTTCTTTCATGAGAAAACGATTTTTGTAGAGTACCTAGACGTGTCTACAATGTTTGTTTGATGTGAGTTTAGATATTTACACAACCAATTTATTTGCTTGCAATTATTTAAAATGTTTAGGGATAGATAGGCTATGGTGTGTATGGAAGTTTATGTGTTGGAGTTTAATCTTTACATGGTTAATGTTGAGCGTGTGGGTTAGGGTTAGTGTTTACATTTACATTGGTTAATGATGAACTTGGCGGAAGTGTTTATATTTACATTGGTTAATGATGAACTTGGCGGAAGTGTTTATATTTACATTGGTTAATGATGAACTTGGCGGAAGTGTTTATATTTACATTGGTTAATGATGAACTTGGCGGAAGTGTTTATATTTACATTGGTTAATGATGAACTTGGCTGAAGTGTTTATATTTACATTGGTTAATGATGAACTTGGCGGAAGTGTTTATATTTACATTGGTTAATGATGAACTTGGCGGAAGTGTTTATATTTACATTGGTTAATGATGAACTTGGCGGAAGTGTTTATATTTACATTGGTTAATGATGAACTTGGCGGAAGTGTTTATATTTACATTGGTTAATGATGAACTTGGCGGAAGTGTTTATATTTACATTGGTTAATGATGAACTTGGCGGAAGTGTTTATATTTACATTGGTTAATGATGAACTTGGCGGAAGTGTTTATATTTACATTGGTTAATGATGAATGTTTGTGTTAGGGTTATTGATTATATTTACATTGGTTAATGATGAACTTGCAGGCGTCCAGTCCCAGGGTATCGTACAGGGGTACTGGAACCATAGAGAATGCCTGACTCGCATAGTCTGCTATCGTCCACTGTGAAGGGAAACATTATGTTGTGGTGGTTTACTTGATTTATATGTGAGCAATAATTTGGTAGACTATGACATAAATTAACATATTATATTCTAAATATTCAGCACGTAACAAATGTTGTCAGTGCCTTGCTATGCCGGGCACCCCTGCTATTGTCTATTTAATTCGTTAAGATCCAGTGGGTGGACGATGGCTACTGTGGTCAAACTATTGCGCATCATCAGAGACAGGTAACAAATATATATTAACTGTTACAGGTAAAATATATCAACTGTTACAGGTTAAATATATCAACTGTTAAAGATAATAAATATATCACCTGTTACGGGTAACAAATATATCAACTGTTACAGGTAAAATATATCAACTGTTACAGGTAAATATATCAACTGTTACGGGTAAAATATATCACCTGTTACAGGTACCAAATATATCACTTGACTCAAGAATCCTGAATTGACCACAAAAACACAAAAAATAATTTCTGGGTGGGACTTGTACTACAGGGTCCGATAACCCCTCAATAATGGAATCTTGAAAAGGGGCGATCATCTAATAATCTCAGTATACTATACAATTATATTAGTTGCTTATGTCAACTTTAACACTATTCCTTCACCCAGCCAAGCCGTATCACAAATTCTGACCATACCCCTAAACCTGATATTCACAATACCACTAACAACCTAACACAATCGCCTGAATCAGTTGTAGGAAAACATTTTTTTTTCGCGATTTGCGATAAAAATCTCACCTCGGGTCTGTTGGTTGCGAAAATTCCGACAAAAGTTTCACCGGAAGGGCGACTACCCGTGTGCACTAGACCAGAACCGAACTGAAGAACTCGGTCAATCACCTGCAAATGGACACAGGACAGGTTAAACAACAGGTTAAACAACAGGACAGGTTAAACAACAGGATGGGATAAACGAGGAAAATCGAGTATTGAACCAAGAAGTATCAGTGTTTCTTCCAGACTTTTTTTTCAGGGGGGTCACTTTAAATTTTCGGGGGGGGGGGGGGGGGGGGGGGGACTAAAATTGAGGGCGGACACTGTTAAAAGTATATTTTTTCTTTATAAATTCCATTTCGTTCGGGGAGGGGGGGGGGGGAGACTTTCTTCGGGGGAATGCCCCCCCCCCCCCCGAAGAGATGCCTGGAAGAAACTCTGTAAGTATCATGTGAGTGATTTGTGACGTGCACCTGTTGGTAGGTCATCCACTCGTATTCTCTGTTAGGTCCCGTACGTGCACCTAGACAAGGTCCGTTATCTGGGGATTCAAATAGTAATTAGTGTTACACCTAATTATAGTTCAATAACTGGTTGAAGATCAAAACCCACTAACACATTTCTTCTCTCTTTTGATTGCCTATATATTTGTATAACAGATATGTCGGTGATTTCTCTAAAAGGTACGTCAGTAATTTTCTCTATTCGTTGTCCTTCTAACAGTCACTTTCTTCCTTCACTAATTTGCTCACGTGATTTTTCCCAAATTTAGTCAGTCGAGTTGTCAATTGAGAGATTTGATTCGGTCTGGTAATGTAACTAGAAAATTACTAGAGGACCAGGTAACGAAATGGACTGAACTGACCAGGTATTTACTTAGACTAAGTAACCAGGAGTTTACTCGAGAACTAAGTAACCAGGAATTTACTCGAAGACTAAATAACCAGGAATTAACTCTATGACCAAGTAACCAAAAACTAACCGGACAGCTAAGTAACCAAGAATTAATTGTACCGCTAAGTAACCGATAGCTTACTGAACGAACCAGGTCAGGTAACCAGGAACTTACTGAACGAACCAGGTCAGGTAACCAGGAAATTACTGAACGAACCAGGTCAGGTAACCAGGAACTTACTGAACGAACCAGGTCAGCTAACCAGGAACTTACTGAACGAACCAGGTCAGCTAACCAGGAACTTACTGAACGAACCAGGTCAGGTAACCAGGAACTTACTGAACGAACCAGGTCAGGTAACCAGGAACTTACTGAACGAACCAGGTCAGGTAACCAGGAACTTACTGAACGAACCAGGTCAGGTAACCAGGAACTTACTGAACGAACCAGGTCAGGTAACCAGGAACTTACTGAACGAACCAGGTCAGGTAACCAGGAACTTACTGAACGAACCAGGTCAGGTAACCAGGAACTTACTGAACGAACCAGGTCAGGTAACCAGGAACTTACTGAACGAACCAGGTCAGGTAACCAGGAACTTACTGAACGAACCAGGTCAGGTAACCAGGAACTTACTGAACGAACCAGGTCAGGTAACCAGGAACTTACTGAACGAACCAGGTCAGGTAACCAGGAACTTACTGAACGAACTAGGTCAGGTAACCAGGAACTTACTGAACGAACCAGGTCAGCTAACCAGGAACTTACTGAACGAAACAGGTCAGCTAACCAGGAACTTACTGAACGAACCAGGTCAGGTAACTAGGAACTTACTGAACGAACCAGGTCAGGTAACCAGGAACTTATTGAACGAACCAGGTCAGGTAACCAGGAACTTACTGAACGAACCAGGTCAGGTAACCAGGAACTTACTGAACGAACCAGGTCAGGTAACCAGGAACTTACTGAACAAACCAGGTCAGGTAACCAGGAACTTACTGAACGAACCAGGTCAGGTAACCAGGAACTTACTGAACGAACCAGGTCAGGTAACCAGGAACTTACTGAACGAACCAGGTCAGGTAACCAGGAACTTACTGAACGAACCAGGTCAGGTAACCAGGAACTTACTGAACGAACCAGGTCAGGTAACCAGGAACTTACTGAACGAACCAGGTCAGGTAACCAGGAACTTACTGAACGAACCAGGTCAGGTAACCAGGAACTTACTGAACGAACCAGGTCAGCTAACCAGGAACTTACTGAACGAACCAGGTCAGGTAACCAGGAACTTACTAGAAACCCGCTTGCCCCTCTCCAGCACGTCAAACACCACGTGACAGTCTTTGACGGGCGTGTCCCTCTGGAAGTAGTCAGGTGACTTGCAGAGTCTGGAGGCGCGGTGCTCAGGCTGAGGAAGGATGACGTCACGTGTTGTAGCTAAAAAACTAGACTTTACACCAAGGCGTCATGTGTTGTAGCCTCACAACTGGACTTTACACCAAGGCGTCATATGGTGGACCCTCAAAACTACACTTTTATGAGGAATCAATGCATCACTTTGTGTACCCTCTAAACTATAGTTTCATTAGTAAACAATGCATAACTTTGTGTACCCTCGAAACTAGACTTTCTTCAGGAACCAAAGCATCACTTTGTTGAACCCTCAAAACTACATTTTCATGATGAACCAAGGCATCACTTTCCCTTTTCAAACCTGACGGTCTATAGGGCAAGTTTGGTAGAGTTCACTTGTTTCTGTGACCTCGGCATATGAAGAGATAGTGTGGTCATCACTATGCCCAGCCGCCTTTACTTTCCCTAACGTGAGTTAGGTACCCATCAGAGTTGGGTGGACTCGGGGACGGTTTACTGACTTGAACACGGATTCGAACTCGAGACTTACGGGTTAGCAGTCCAGCTCTCTACCGCTAGACCACTCCGTCCCATAGGCATCACTTTGTGTACACTCAAAACTACACTTTCATCAGGAACCAAGGCATCACTTTCTAGTATCCTCAAAACTACACATTCATTGCTCAACATTACATCTTTTTAAGGAGGGTATTATAAGTAAGTTAGTTACGCTTTCGGATCAAGCGGTCCATAAGGGTAGATGAAGTAGAGTTCACCGGTGTCATTGACCTCGACATATTAATGAATAGTGTGGTCAGTTTTATGTCCTGTCGGCTTTTCTTTCCCTAACATAAGCCAGGTACTCATCAGAGCTGGGTGTACTCAGGGACGTTGTACAAACGCGAGCCCGCGATCCGAACTCGAGACCGGCGGGTAAGTAGTAGTGCGCTCTAGTTCCTGACCACGCTGTTTCATAGCTTATTTTACGTATTACATATTGACACATCTTTTTCTATTCTTAAGTTTAAAAGAACGTACAGAATAAAACAAAATGCATGCGTTAGTTATCACTAGATAACTGTTAGAAAAAAACCCACTAAACACTGAACGTCAACATAACTAAAAGCCCAATGTGTTGAAATTAATTTTTAAGTCCAAAATTTTCCGAGACAGATTTTGCAGTAACCGAATCAGTGGTTACCATGACAACAACGCCTACCTTGCCATCTATGGCGACTGACTGGTTATTCAGGTCAATGGGCGGCTTGACCGGGGTCGTACGATTCTGATTGGACAAGAGGTAGGCCACTGCCGCCACGCCCGCTAGAGTAGCCGCCCCTGCTGCCAGAAGATTCCGGCAGTTCTGGTCGGTGCCCAGCAAATCACTGCTCTCTGACATGGTGCTGGGGGATACAAAAGGTAAACATTGTCTCTCTGGTGCTGGGGGATACAAAAGGTAAACATTGTCTCTCTGACATGGTGCTGGGAGATACAAAAGGTAAACATTGTCTCTCTGACATGGTGCTGGGGGATACAAAAGGTAAACATTGTCTCTCTGGTGCTGGGGGATACAAAAGGTAAACATTGTCTCTCTGGTGCTGGGAGATACAAAAGGTAAACATTGTCTCTCTGACATGGTGCTGGGGGATACAAAAGGTAAACATTGGCTCTCTGACATGGTGCTGGGGGATACAAAAGGTAAACATTGTCTCTCTGGTGCTGGGGGATACAAAAGGTAAACATTGTCTCTCTGACATGGTGCTGGGGGATACAAAAGGTAAACATTGTCTCTCTGACATGGTGCTGGGGGATACAAAAGGTAAACATTGTCTCTCTGACATGGTGCTGGGGGATACAAAAGGTAAACATTGTCTCTCTGACATGGTGCTGGGGGATACAAAAGGTAAACATTGTCTCTCTGGTGCTGGGGGATACAAAAGGTAAACATTGTCTCTCTGGTGCTGGGAGATACAAAAGGTAAACATTGTCTCTCTGACATGGTGCTGGGAGATACAAAAGGTAAACATTGTCTCTCTGGTGCTGGGAGATACAAAAGGTAAACATGGTCTCTCTGACAGGGTGCTGGGAGATATAAAAGGTAAACAATGTCTCTCTGGTGCTGGGAGATACAAAAGGTAAACATTGTCTCTCTGGTGCTGGGAGATACAAAAGGTAAACATGGTCTCTCTGACAGGGTGCTGGGAGATATAAAAGGTAAACAATGTCTCTCTGGTGCTGGGAGATACAAAAGGTAAACATTGTCTGTCTGACATGGTGCTGGGAGATACAAAAGGTAAACATGGTCTCTCTGGTGCTGGGGGATACAAAAGGTAAACATTGTCTCTCTGGTGCTGGGAGATACAAAAGGTAAACATTGTCTCTCTCACATGGTGCTGGGAGATACGAAAGGTAAACATTGTCTCTCTGGTGCTAGGAGATACAAAAGTTTTTTTTTCGTCTTTCAAGCTGTTTAGCTTATTTTATTTACCCTTGGATTAATACATATCAAAAGTTGGGTTATATCGCAACACGCACATTTAAATAGTAATTGAAAAAGAAAATATTTTCAATTAATGTATTTCGTATTTAAATATTTATGACAAAGACAAAATACGTGAATTGATATACATTGATTTTAGCCACGTATCACACAACTTTTAATAGGGACAGAGATAATAATTCATTAAACATATCACACATCATAGATAACAAATCAACTACTTAAGCACAATCAAATGTACAACTATTGCTCTACTGGTGTCAGTCGCCTTCCTCCACACACCTCCACACACACAAACACACACATAAACACACATACACACACACTCACACTTACATACACACACACACACACGTAGGTTACTGTATAATAATTAGCTTGATCGAACGATATGTAGATTTGTAAATTTCCAATGTTGTTTCATTCCAATCCACCTCGGTAGACAGTGTATTTGGTGTCAACCCCCCCCCCCCTAACTTTTAGTCGAAATGCATCAATGTGTGCAAACTTTAGTCTTCCTATCAGTAGCGTACGCAGGGGGGGAGCAGGGGGAGCGGCCGCTCCCCCTCTAGCCATTTTCAGCAAAGTGGCGCCTTTTTGGAAACTTTTTAAACTCAAAGTTTTAAACAATGATATTTGTTAAAAAATATTTTTGGTCGGCACATATATATGTAAATCACAACATTTCTTTTCATGCAGCAATTAAGCATTATTGTACTAGTCTAGTAGTGTCTACGTTTACAACACGTATTAACAGCTGCATCAGTTTGCCATTCTAAAAATAACCATTACGATGCATTGCAATGTTTAAAAAACCTCTACGGTAGTACCACTTGGCAAGAGGGGTGTTCAGTTTAAGGCAACTGTATAATGTATTTGCTTACGAATAATTGAATTAGAAAATGTTATAAATAAAACTTCACACATAATTACTTTATATATACAGTTTGAATCGTGTGATTAATTTTTTAAAAATTACAATACAGAAACAAATACAAGTGATGTGGCCCCTCTATTTAAATTTACTTATATATGTATGTTTAGAACAGTCATCTAAAAACTGACGCTATGTTCACTCAGGGTTGGTTATCTCCCCCCCCCCCCCCCACACACACACACCTCACCACCACAAATGTGTAGAGCGACATTAATGTCACACCTAGGTATACACTGGGTTGGATAATTGACCTAAAGTGACCGGACAGTGGTGAATGAAGTTGAACCCCCCCCCCAACCCACCCCGATCTGATCTGTTAAGTACATGTAGAAAAACGCGTAATGATGTACCAAAGTACCATGCCGCCAGATTAGCTTTTTAAACGTAAAACTCTGTGAATATTGTTTTTGCAATTACCAGTAAAAAGGTGTGTGATCAATACAGTGATCTAACCAATACCTATCACTATGTTAAAAAATGATCTATAAAGAACACAAAGAATCAGTAGTTAATAAAATTATATGATCTGAACTAATAGACCGAAAACTAATTAAATGTAGGCTGTTACTCCGAATGTTCATCTAATATATCGAAAAGCGTGGTTTTATACCAACTCTGATTTTTAAAACTTTCATTCTGCTGTTATGCTTTAGCATTTATGATGACGATATATTAAATTCTGATTATAGACAAAAACATTTTGTAAACACGAATAGTGTTAAACAATTTTATTATCATCATCATCATCATCACTCCTTTATGGCCCCTGGGGAGCAAAAGGCTGCAACCACACATCTCCAGCGGGCTCGGTTTTGGGCTGCTCCTCCAATCTGTGCCCATGAGAGCCCAGCTGTTTTTGCCTCTTCCTCAACCGTTCTTTTCCATGTTTTCTTTGGCCGGCCCACCCTCCTTTTCCCCTGGGGATTCCAGTCCAATGCATGTTTTGCGATGTTTTCTTTTTCTTTTCTTAACGTGTGTCCGATCCATCCCCATTTTCGGGCCTTAATATCTTTCTCTATTGGCTGTTGCTTTAAAATTTGCCACAGGTCTTCGTTTGATATTTTGTCTGGCCATCTTATTTTGAGTATATGTCGTAGGCATTTGTTTACGAACGCCTGTAGCCTATCAGTATTTGTCTTCGTAACCCTCCAGGTCTCCGAGCCATAGAGTAGCACTGCCTTAACATTTGTGTTGCAAATCCCAATTTTGCTCCGGAGTGACAGGGCCATGGACCTCCACATCGGGCGCAGCGAGTTGAAGGCACATCTAGCCTTGTTGATACGGCATTTTATGTCCTCGTCTGCTCCCCCGTCCTTATTGATCACGCTTCCCAGATATGTGAATGTGTTTGTTTCTCGTAAATCTTCTCCATTTAGCTGTATCGGCAGGTCCTGGCTGTTATTGATTCTGATGACCTCTGTTTTGTTTTTATTGATTTTTAGTCCAATTTTGGAGGCTTCTTCAGACAGCCGATTTAGTTTGGCTTGCGTGTGTTGATGCTTATGAGATAGTAGGCAGATGTCATCGGCAAAATCAAGATCCTCCAACCTTTTTGTGAAACTCCACTGGATTCCTGTGTCGTTTTTTGTGGCCCTCAGCATGATCCAGTCGATTACCATTAAGAATATCATTGGCGATAGCATACATCCCTGTCTTACTCCCGTCGTCACCGTGAATGGTTTTGTTCGCTTTCCCTTGCGTATTACCTGACTGGTGGAGTCTTCATATAGTTTCTGTGTGATAGATATAAATTATTTGGGTATTCCATAGTGGCTCATTAACTTCCAGATAGCATCTCTATTCACACTGTCAAACGCCTTTTCGAAGTCGACAAAGGTCATGTATAAAGGGGATTGCCACTCAAGGGACTGTTCGATAATGATGCGCAGCGTGGCAATGTGGTCAGTACATGACCTGTCCTGACGAAAACCAGCCTGTTCTTGTCTCAGCTTTTTGTCCAAGGCATCTCTAAGTCTCTCTAGGATGATTCTTGTCAGCAACTTACTTGGAACTGAAAGAAGCATTATCCCTCTCCAGTTGTTGCATTGTGTCAGGTCTCCCTTCTTTGGCAGTTTTATCAGGTATCCCAGTTTCCAGTCAGATGGGATTATCTCTTCTTCCCAAATCTGCTTAAGTAGAGGATGTAGTATGTCTGCTGATATGGCTGGGTCTGCCTTGAGTGCCTCTGGTGGGATGCCGTCCGGGCCAGCGGCTTTGCCATTTTTCATGCTTTTTATTGCTCTTATTGTTTCTAACTTTGTGGGTGGATCTGTACACACATCTAGTAGGTGATTTGCAGGTGGTATATCCGGGATGTTTGATGAGAGAGGATGGTTTAAAATCTCATCAAAGTGCTGTACCCATCTGTCTCTCTGTTCTGTGTCACATGTTAAGATATTTCCTACTTTATCCTTTACTAGTTTGTTGGGATTAATGTTCTTACCTGATAGTGTCCTGGTTACTTCATAGAGCCTCTTCATTTTTCCTTGTCGTGCCGCAGTTTCTGCCTCCTCTATCATCTCCTGTATGAACTGTCTTTTGTCTTCTTTTGCACTTTTCCTGACCATGCGATTTACTTCACAATAATGTGTTCTGAGGTTTATTTTCTCTTTTTCATCCTTACATTTGTTAATCTTCTGCTTTATCTCTTTTCTATCTTCAATTTTGGCCCATGTCTCTGTTGTGATCCATTCTTTTTGTTCATTTTTTCTTCTCCCCAATATGTCAGTGCATGTTGACTTCCATAGTTCCTGTATTCCTAGCCATTTTTGCTCTACTGTTTCCTCTACTGTATCCTCTGCCAGGCTGGAGAGTACTTCATACCTATTTTTTTTACTGCGCAGTTAAATTATATTCTAAAGTAATTATTTATTTGTTTTGACATTTATAATTAAATGTGTAGATATATACATATTTAAATTAAGAGAGTGATTATTTCCCATATTTCACTTGTCTTAAATAATTTC